TTCTTTAAAATAAAGTTATATAGTCATTAACGTTATTGAAACTGACAGCTGCTATACAGCTCGTTGAGAAATGAGGTTAAGTTGGTCGCTATAAGCTACTCCCTACGTCCAATGTGTCAGAGCCAACTTCGACCACGTTTTTATTTGAACGCTCGTTATATGTATAATAGACACTTTATAGATAATGAAAGGAAAACGATGTGGATTTTACAAGAGCCTACTGAAATTTCGAAAAATGCAGATTTTTTTAATAAATAAATTTAGAAAAATAAGTAATTATATCATTGAGGCAACTTTTCCAATTAAATTGATAACTGTAACTGTATGAAAAAGACTATTTTGATCTGGAAAGAAAGAAGCTTTTTGTTCCAATTAGCGAAAGTGTCTTTTCAAACAGAGTTTCGCAAAAACAATTTATATTGTTCGTAAAACTTTTGTTTTTGTTCCAAAAATCCGAAAGTGAGACGAAAACGAAATAGCAAATGATCCGAATTTCCTCCAAATGTATTTAATTGAAGTGAAATTGCATCAAAATGGAGCAAATATTAACTCCCAAACGAATAATCTAAAAAGAACGTAGCAAAACAAAAAAAAATGCACAAGACACTACATTTCCAGAGGTAAATTTCCTGCTAGTTATTACCATTATAGAATCGTGAAGGGAGATTATTCACCGTTGGCATTAGTATTTGTGACACCTGCGGGATCCAGACGAACGCCGACAATTTTCTTTGTGAAATTTCCCGAGGAAAAATCCGAGTCAAACAAATTCCGGATAAGGACACTCGACATAATAAGGAATAGGAAAACGAGATCGAATTGAGAATTCTTGCAGCGGACAGGAAACATTTCTCAAAGACACTTTTAATTAAGTACTGGAGGGTCAGGTAGAATTAGGAAGGCTTCCCACTATCAATCAGGGAGGCACCAGAAGGAGTTCGGTTCGGTCTGAAAGCTTACAGTCTGAATAGGCAGGCTCTTTCCGGCTCTTTGACCTCGCAACCTGCTCTGTCGCAGCGTTTTGGTCAAGTGTCTCCATGGATACACGGTGTGCGCCTGCACAGCGGCGGCTCGTCACCTCGAATGCACGGGGGCGTCCGCATAAGCGAAATTTCACGTGAAATGCTAAATAGGGTGGTCCTGAGGTACGTTTTGATAATAAAGGGGATGATTTCTTCGTTAATTCTAAGAAAACAAGTTCCTATGAAAGAAGGTTCTAACAGGATGTTAAATTAAAAAAAAAAATTTTGTCCGTGCAACAGGAACTTTAAGGCAGAATATACTGAAAATATATAATGGCAATATAATGGCAATTTCTAGAAAGCTTCATTCTTGACCTTCTACAACGCCATTGGCGTAGATAGGGGTATAAAACACTATGTATTGAAAACAAATTTGTACGCCACTGAAGTTTTGAAGGTACATTATCAGTTTCTTTAATATTGTTTCCTTAAAAAGTTTGCTAGGATCAGCAACTACTGACTACTACAAAAGAAGTAATGGCTACAAATAAGTCGTAAAAATAGTACATTGCTCGCTTGCGCGAGTGCGGTAAATTATCTTGTGTGATATGAGACTTTTGTCCAACAGGTGCAGTTTTTTAACAAAAAATAAGCTTCAAGAGATATTTTAAAAAGTCAAGCAATTAAGTCTTAGTTGTTAACGCCTGTGGGCACTAAATTTTGTCGAAGAATAATTTTAACCGAAATATACTAGGACGCTTTTGATTTTGCCTGCAGACACGAACGCCACTGGTCGCGAGCGATATTAGTTCGGATCCGGATCCCTATTACGTACACGCGCAGCTTGTTGCACATAAAAATTTAGATTTCACGTCAATCCAGCCGTGCTAGATAACAAACAGTGCCACCTTTCTTACCTTTGTCCCTACAACATATTTTATACATTTTGCATCGGCAAAGTGAACGCTTCCGTCCCTATCGCACCGATATTGACTTTATATTTGTCGTTGCCGCCCATCTACTGCCGCGAAAAGCTGAGTTTTCATAAAGTCTTCGCCGGAGATACAATAAATAATAAATATTGCCTTTATAAAAGCATTACTTAAGAAAATAATTGCAAACATTTTTTGGAAACTGATAGAATTTTGACGTTTTATGTTCTCTTCTTAAATAGCCATATTTGTCAATCAGTAACGCAAACCATGGCGGCAAATTTGGTATAAATTTCGTTTGTAACAATTTGTTTGTAATTTTGACAGTTCATGTCATGATAATCCCTTGACTTGATTTTTGACTAAGAAAAATTGAAGATAATATAACAAACTTTTTAATAAAGTTTGCAATGGAACAAATATTTTACAAATGCTTGTATTAGTGCTCAAAGTATATTGTATTACACTTTTGATGGTTCTGCTACTAATCTAATAAGAAAAATCAAGTGTAATAAGCAACAATGAATAAATGTCTGTTTCGTTAAACAAGGACTCGAAAACCATAAGCAAAACATTCTTTCCCGATTCTGACATCAGCGAAGGAATGTCCCTCATCTCGGAACACTAAAAATCACGGCACGTTTGTTCCTAATATCATTTTGATATTATTACCATACCAGCGCGTTACTTAGAATACAGATTATCAAATTATTCTTATGACGTTATAATACCAAACTGAATTTTCAATGATTCTTGTTTTATATTAACGTCTTGTTTGGCAGCAGAGGGTTAGACTTTTTACATGCAAAGCAGCCCTGTTTTTGGAATGCTAACTACGCCGTATTTTTGGCTATATTTGACGTTAAGGGGCGATATCGTGCGCATGCAACTACCGCGTTCTTATGGGGTGGCAACTGAGAAATTCTTTAAAATACCAACATATTTTTGTCTGTATTATGCACCTTATAAAGGAGAAAGAAAACTATTTATTCATTTGCTGTTAAGGTACCTACTTGGTAATGACGTCAGCCATACATTACTTTATTTATAAACTTGTAAAGAGAAAACACTGTGATTTATTGGGGCATTACTGTAGTTTTCCGTTTGTTTAATTCCAGATATCTATCCTGAAGGTCTTTTTCTATTTTCGCTGCTAAGTTTTCATACAAATGGCCGCGTTCATATCTTTGCACCGACATAAATAATTATTATCTGGTTTTGAAATCATGAATGCACAGAAAATATATTCATTAACACTCCCAGATAAAGGATATTTATTGCTGGCAATTCTATGAAAAATATTATTCATTAGTTGATGGCTGCAGCACTGTGACCTACTAGTCAGTGGAGTAACCGGCAATTTTCAGTTGGGGCACCATTATTCTGTCAAATTATGTTAAACTGGTGACATGACAAAAAACAAATCTCTTGTCATTTTCATCAGCAAATACTTTAATATAGCTTTACACACATTATTGTCACGTATTCTTGTGGTTTTGTAGGAACATTAACCTGTAGTGTTCTAAAACTAAAATAACAAGTACAGAGATAAGTAACTTGAACACTCGTAGCAAATTTTCGTAAATTCCTTTGTTGTTCTTAGGTTGGACCTGTGGGGGTCGGTTGGCCATCAGAACCCGTTATTCATTCGGTCTGGCCTTAGAAATGCTCTATCTTGTCAGAATTTTGAAATATTAATTCTTACTATTTATTTACTAAAATACATACAATATTTTTTAATAATTGATGTCACCTAAAATCACGAGACGTAAGATGGACTCACGTTAATCAAGCACCCTAAATTATAAGAAGAAATGAGACTCACATTAATCAAGCAGCGGCATCTTAAGAGGCGAGGGCTCTCACGTTAATCAAGTATCTCGAATTTTAAGAAACGAGGAAAACTCACGTTAATTAATCACCCTGAACTGTGAGAGGCGGGGAGTCTCACGTTAATCAAGCACTTGAATCGTGAGAGGCGAGGACACTCACGTTAATCAAGCACCCAAAATCGCTAGACGCGAGGGCACTCGCGTTAATCAAGCACCCAAAACGTGACGCGCGAGAGGGTTAATCAAGCACCCTGAATTATAAGAGGAAAGGAGACTCACATTAATTAAATATCCCAAATTATAAGAGACGAGGGAGACTCACGTTAATTAAGCACCCTGAACTATGAGAGGCGAGGAGTCTCAAGTTAATCAAGCAACCCGAATCATGAGATATGAGAGAGACTGACGTTAATTAAGCACCCTGACTATGAGAGGCGAGGAGTCTCACGTTAATCAAGCACTTGAATCGTGAGAGGCCGAGGGCACTCACGTTAATCAAGCAACCCGAATCATGAGAGACGAGGGAGACTGACGTTAATTAAGCGCCCTGAAATATAAGAGGAAAGGAGACTTACATTAATCAAGCACCTGCATCTTAAGAGGCGAAGGCACTCGCGTTAATCAAGCACCCAAAACGCGAGACGCGAGAGGGACTCACGTTAATCAAGCACCCTGAATTATAAGAGGAAAGGAGACTCACGTTAATTAAATATTCCAAATTATAAGAAAGAAACGAGGGAGACTCACGTTAATTAAGCACCCTGAATTATGACAGGCGAGGAGTCTCACGTTAATCAAGTAACCCGAATAATGAGAGATGAGAGAGACTGACGTTAATTAAGCACCCTGACTATAAGAGGCGAGGAGTCTCACGTTAATCAAGCACTTGAATCGCGAGATGCGAGATGGCGTTAATTAAGCACCTCAAAGGGAACAAACTATCTACATACACGTTACTTTTTGTGGTTGTCGCTAAATGTCATCAATATAGGTTTTAGGTGAAAAACTACCAGAAAATCCAAATTCGATTTTGAAACAAGCTTTTGGCTTTACTTCACTTTTTACTATTTAATAAAATAACATATTGTATGCAGTGTATCAAGAAACATAGAAAAACGCATTCTTCAACGTGTACCCACAAACCGAGCGTCCGCTATGTCCTCCAGACGGCTTCAGCCGTCGCGACGGACACAATCCGACTAGTAATTCGAATTCCGAGCGCGGAAAGATTCAAATGAACCCGTCTAAATACTTTTTCGGATTGGTGTACTCACTGGAATATTCCTGCTGTGCCTGCGCCAGGAGGGAGGCGAACACATGACTGTCTACCGGTCTCGTGGGGATCTCCTCCTCGCTGGAACTGTAGCCTCGCTCCCGCCACTCCAGGCTCCGCTGCCGCCTCATGCTCGCCATCTCCTTGGGCCCTCGCCGGCTGTTCGACGAGGCGCTGGAGCTGTTCATCGCGCCGATAGGTTCATCTGGAACAACACGAATGATTGGTTTTGCTGGATTCGCTGTGGAGTACATGGAATTTTATTTGAAAATAGCCTGGGTCCGGATACCAAATACAAATAGTTTTTAAACCGCCTTAAACACCAGGTACCCTCTGCAAGTCTACGAAATTTTATTGCAAAGCAGCCCACCGCAAAATTGCAGAATTGCTTCCAGAAAGTAGTCAAAGTTTTTAATTTTTTTTCATTTAAATATACTTGAGACCGCTATAGGTGTTAAGAGAAACCGCATATTTATTAAATTTTATTTGAATTTTTTTTCCAATTTTGCTAAAACAATCTTTAGGAATATTCAAAATAAATGAAAAGTAAAGACAAGCTTTTATTAAAATTAAATTAAAAACTAATTATTTTATGCAAAAGGAAATTAATTTTCCAAATTTTCGAACACGGATCGGCCCTTAAAACCACCAGAACATTTTTCGATGACGCCACAACCATGTGCGCTAGCTCATGGTCTATAATTAAAAAATGGCAAATTACAAAAAAAATATTATACTCAGATCTTTGATTTCAAAGTTTAAATTTATTTGCGGAGAATTTAAGAAATTAAAGAAAGTAAACCCACAACAGTTAATAATAAAAAAAAAAAAATTTTTAACATTACAAATAAAAGGATTGTGAGATTACTAAGTCTTTACTCTTTCCAGAAAATTATAAATATGGACTCACACTTATCAATTTCAAATTTAAATAAAAAAAATGTTTGCATTTCTTTCATACATTTTATTCTCATGATCACGTAATCTATATTTTTCAATAGGATTTTTTTCTTTTAAGTCGAATCTTAATATAAGGAACTTCCATCGGAGCAGCTAAAACAAAATTCATCGCTTTGAGAGAGACGGCGATAAAGCATCAAGATTCCGTCATACAGGAAGGCAATAATTGGAAGAAACTCCCGACTCACTTGTGATAAAGGAAGGAGCAAATTTCCGGAATGACAACTTCCAGCGCATATACACCTTTTGCGCTCCGCCAAATAGGTAGAAGGAAGTTGAAAAATAAATTACACAAACTAGGAGTCGTCGGGAGAGGTATTTCTCTGAAAAACGACCTCCGCAGGAGATCTTTGTGCCAGCTTACACTTCTGGGAAATTTATTAAATATCAGGAGTCCGAACAAAGAGAAATTCGTATCATAAACACTTCAATGGCTTTTTTCTTTCTCGCACAAAGCCCCGCCGACTTCTATACCTTTCGTTTCGGAAGCGTACCGGCAAATTCGATGAAATTCTTAACCGATTAATTGGTAGATAAATTAGGTACAAGATAATCCGCAATACTATTTTAGAGCCATTTTTATTACCATCATAATAATATGTACAATCGTAAGCATTAGCCCGAAAGTCGGAAACCTGTGCGGGAGGGGTGGCGGCATATTATTATTCAGTAGGCCGCATGTGCGCCCAGGAACGACATACTTTTGTAAGTCCTAACCACCACCATTCAGTGCAGGACTGACCGGTATTAATCTCTCACCGAAAATAGTTGTTTGATAACTATTGAATAGTACTGAATAAGAAATAACTAATAAAATAATTAGAGTAATTAACATACACATGAAGCAAAAAATATATAAAAACAGTTATTTATTGTATAAGTGTTTTAAGTAAGTTTTATCAACGCAACAATTTTTAACGCTAGAGCGTAGTTCGAGGATACAAAGCAAAAAAAGTTGGAGCATTGGAAAGAGCTAATTCATATAAGTTTGTTAGAAAATCTAATTTACTGTTCAATTTCGTAAATAAAAGTCCTCAGATGCAATCAAATTAAATTCTAGGGAACAATCCGGCAGATTAAGGGGTTTATTAAGCCCCTAACTGTTCTAAAATGATAACAGGTCTCCCCAAAAAGTAAATAAACTACTTAGAATTAACCGGGAAGCATTAAGAAACAGACCGTTTCCTTCATAATCGCATAATTAACTTCGTAATGATAAGGTAGGCCACCAGGAAACGATCTGGGGTCAGCTGAAACGGTTCGTTATGACATGAATTCATAACGCTTATTAATTTTTGAGGAAGCAGGTTGTCTCTTGGGAAATATTACTGTCCCGAAGAAAGATAATTACCATCGATTTATATTAAAAGTCTGTAAAACTGTGCAGTTCTGAAATAAAGCGACTATTTTATTTATTTATCCACACTCACCTTATAATCGGACTTTTATCCACACATATGAATCGCCTAAAGTGATAGAATAATGAAAAAATAATAAAATTATAATAAATCAAATTAACATTTACATTTATAGTAATAGCCATTTCGTTTTTTGTTTTATCACATTTAACTTCCTTTCCGTTAATAACAACCCTTTTAGCATTGTTGCCATCATTTTCGGAACGCATAACATCTGCCGAAGTTTGTGAAGAATTTGCACAAGTTACAGATGTCTGTTTTTGAAAGGAACAGCTATATTTTCCTTGGATTTTCCTTGCAATATAGATATAGACTCCTCGACATAACTTTCTGCTACAGAGGAGCTCTTCTATTCACCATACCGTTTGATGGTTGTAAGATCAGCACCTTTATTGGCCAATAAAGTTGTTGAAGTGAGCCTCATAAGTACAATGGCCAGCATATGCTTCTGGATTTGTGACACACTATATTGGATACAGTAGAAATACAGAAAGTCATGCTACTCATTAATAGCGCATTATTATTAATTTGTTTTATAAAAATAAATTAAAATTTTTAGAATTATTTATACTTATATTATTGCGTTTAAATTAATTAAAATAGATAAAGCAATCACTGAAACAGAAACGGTGTAATATCTAAACTAACTCCATGATAAATTAATTTAATACATAATTGCCCATTATCTCACTGAATGAGTAAATCTGATTATCTTGCGGTTGTTACAATTTATTTCCCTTCCTGGCGTCTCTTTATGTTTTCTGTTACTTAATTACAAAGACCAATTTGGGCGCCTTATCAAAACACTTTCAAAAATAAAGATATTATTTATTCGCCGGTTAATTCTCATTAACTGCCCCTATTTTTTTAATTATCCTAATGGGCTCCCGCATCTCCGTTTTTAAATTATTTTGTAATCTAATTTACCGGCTACATCTTTTATTTATTTTTATTGGCTACTTCTTTATGGTGCAATACAGGTCAGTATAATCTGTGGCCACAAAGATAAAATAACAAGATGCTATAGAATTTTGGTGGATAAGACATTGACAAACGGTGAATGTAGACAAAATGTTACGGCAGCAGAATGTATGTAAATCGTTTTCCTTTCCGTTGAACTTGCAAATAAGCGTGAAATTTACCTGTACCTTTAGGTACCATCATTGGAAACTTAATGTGATGCGTCAAGTGAGAATACGACGTGTCATTCCCTCTCGACTACAGCAGTTCTCAATATGTTTACATTTTTTCATAAAGTTTTTTTACTTCATATCTTACAAGATTATGAGTCTTGTAGGTTTCTACGAAAGGTGACATTTCTCTGCATTTTGCGGAACACAAAATAACGGCACAAGCGTTTTTGTCAAACGCGGCAAATTTGCGCATATAAAACAGTAACGAAACAGCCGGTAAACTAAAGCTGCAACTCGCTATTAAATTAAAAACTTTAATTAAACAAGTTAACTAACAAATTATTAACCGCAGCAAAAATAATACACAAGCGGGTTGTTCAAGTTTTTACAGTTTGCGCTAAACGATATTACACACATAAATTCTGTCGATTTTCCATTTGTTTACATCGCATTCGAGTTTTATGCGTGTATTGGCCGGATACAAATTTATTGTACCATGGCATCCATGCCAAAATGTCGCAGACGTCATTACGGCTTTATTGGGTGAATCAAATTATAAACCGAATCAAACTAATCGAGATTTATTAAAAGTTTCTGTAATTCCGATGATATGTATATGCAAATGTGACCAATATTGCCAATAAAACGCTTGTCATTGATATATTTATCGGAACACGAGAGAGGGATAACCATTCTTCGTTCTTTTGCTAAACTTGTAGGAAAAGTTGCTATGGTACACTCAAATTAACACCAAGAAACGTAAAGGAAAATGTTGCAAATACTTGAAACAGAAGAGAATTTCACCCTCGAAATTTCAAGTTGCTCTCGCGATAAATGTTGCAATTTCCCCACGTGTAAAACTGCGGTTTTACGTTTGCAAATTTAACCCGGCTTTTCAAAAGGCCGCCGCAATATGTGCCGCATAAAAATTTATGTGAAACTAACTGAAACTGCCTAATAAAAGTCCCCCCATGATCTTTATTATAACCTCGTAAATTTATAATAAATAGTTGGTGAAATTACGGTTTGCCCAATCGGAGGCGGGCTCCATTTTTAATGGCTTTTTGTTTCCGTTGCGGGAGACTGTATTGGTCGCTTATAAATAAAAATTCCTGACGGCCTCTCTCAAGTAATATCTAATAAAATATATTAATATTTTATGTGGGGACCGCGCGATTCCAACAGTTAGAGTAAACATAATGTTATAATAAAGTTCCCCGTTTTATTACCGGTTGTACTTTCTTCGTCACTTTGATTCGGCGTTGCCGAGGTTAATGTGAATTTTGTGTTTCGGGGTCGGGCAGGGACGTGGATCGTACATTGTGGTTCCAACTTTAGCCGCCAAAGTTCATGAAGGAAATTAAAATACTTCATTAGGTTTTGCAAGATGTGAATAATCACATTTAAATACATATGTCTAACATAAAAAAATATAACCTAATAAAACTTGAACCACCCTGTATACAATATGGTTGTTTCCCATTCTTTAACACATTTTAAGCATGTACAGGGTGTTAATGAACTTATGTCAAAAATTTAAAAGCGTGAGAAAAGAGCAAAAACTGAGTTGACAGATGTCAGTTGATGAAGTTTAAGGTTATAGAGAAAAAAGGTAACTAAAAATGTGTTGGAACTGCTGAAATATATTTATTGTATCGCGGCGAGTACTTGGAAAAT